GGCTCCCCGCTTATGCAAATGAAGCCCGGGAAATTCAAATCCCAGGCTTCATTTGCAAGTGCGGTATGCCTACATTACCCCGCTAGTTCAAACTAGCGGGGTAGCATAGATGTACCCCCAGAGACTATGGTTCACCAGGAAGTGGCATGGGTTGAAGGATGTGCTGGCTACCACTTACCACTGCTCCTGTTGGCCAGGATTACTAAATACAAGACACTGGGAGTGGCAAATGTTCCAGGTTAACAAACGTCCCAGCATGTCAGTAGATTTCCCTGACGAGCTGGGAACCCAAGTTTGCAAACTGCTGAAATATAGGGTTGGTGATAGAATTGCTGGGCCCCTGGGGAATGTTGGGGTGCTGGCTCTGTGCTCCCAGAAGGGGCAGTGCCTCGGGTGGATGAGACAGGAGTATGCTGCCCAGAGGGTGCTGTCCCCTTTTCAGAGCCAGACTGAGTGTGCCACATAGTGCGCCAGTGGAATTTAAAGGGCCTGGGGCAACTGCCTCCTTTGTTCCCCACCCACCCCACCCCGGGTCAGTAGGCCTATATACAGTACTCCAATCTAGCAGCTAAGACAACTTAAAGGTTTGCCCTGAACTGGAGCCTAAGACATCCCAGATCTTGACTTCGAAAAATCACAATGGAAGGGAAAAGTAAGAGGAAGGAAGCTCTCGGAAATATCAAACCAGAGCTTTAAAATGACATGTCAGTGGCTTTAATGCAACATCTCCTTAGATAGTACTATTACCGTTTACAACTAAATGTAACTTAAAGATCATTTGAAGCTGATTTAGGGTTACTTTTGGCTGAAATAATATGCTGACAGATCACATGAGGGAAACTCATTCTCTCACATGAGGCATTGAACTGCATTATAAATTAGAATTTAGAATAATTTATCAAGCATCACCTAAAGTTGCCAGAATTAATAGGAGTAGCAGCAAGAGGAACAGTAATCACTGGTGTAAATGTTTGTCTTCAAAGTGGCTTGTAATATGTGTCTGAAAGGCTCCTCCGTCTCCTTATTGTAAAAATCTGCATAGGCAGTGAATTTGATCCATTTTCCTTCCCAAAGCCAGAGGTGGTGAGGGGTTTTAGTTAGTTTGTTTTTTACCATCTTCTGGACTTTTACTATGTATAAAAGGCTGTGGTAGTAAAATGCTCTATTTGCTGAGTCAGGTGTGTATTTTAATACAGGACCTCAAATTGTCTGTTTTACCTAAATCTGGGAAAACCTCCTCCAACCTGGTGTGTGTATTTTTTTTAACCAAGAAGGCATATGTTCTTGAGGGGTATGTCCTTTGCCTGCATGATAATACTCCCTGCAGTATATCTCTCTGAATCATTATTATGGAAATAATATGCAGACTATACATTGACATATTAAAATATTTAAAACCTTTTCTGTTCCAATGGACTTTATGAACATTGAATAGCTACCAGAAGAATATAATTTGGGGGAGTCTTCCTCTTGTAACTTAAGGTGATCACTATATAGAGCACTACCAGGTAGGGCTGACACTCTATAGAAATACTCTTTTATGCAATTAATGGAAAAACACAGGAATCATAATTTACTGTTTCCAGTTACTTTGGCTAACATCTATTAGCTTTCAGTAAATACTGTGTACACTTACCTTCTCCTCACTGTATACTTTTGACATGTCTACTCAGTATTCTTCATATTATTCTTACTTTCTTTCTGGAAGATACACAGTTTACTGCATTAGCAATTTATCTGACCTCTTTTAAACCTTTTGTATGACACTATAATGTCAGGAGTTTTTAATTTGACAGTAAAATTGTTGAAATAAAATTGTTATGTTAGTAATTTCCTGCACAATTAAATTGCCTGCATGCACATTTATGTTGTTATATTTAGTACAAAAAAATAGGCACAAATAATTTTGTGATAGCCATAACATGTTGGTCTCCAGTCAGAATTTCTGCTTGCTGCTGCCATTGGTGAAAGTGCACCTAATTCAGAGTAATGTTGTACAGTAAATGTCCATAACTCAGGCAAATTATTTTCAGCATCACAATGTATTTTGGTAAAATCTTTAAAGAAATCAACATTTTTGCCTTTAAAGGGTTTCGTTTCATGGTCTCAGTCTACTATTATTTTGTATTCAGTAACTACCTACCGGGTTAAGAGGCAGTAATTGTACACGCTAACTTTTAAGGGGGGGAATTGAGGAAGGAGAATGTAGAGGCTAGAAGTACCTTCTAACTTTCTCTGTTTAAATTTAGGGAGAGCCCGTCACTTTCTGTGAGGACAGTTTTGTGAAGCATCGTTCCAGTACTACCAAACAGTTCCTGGAAACTGCAGTGAATCTTCAACTTTTTAAACAGGTGTGACAGACTGATTGACCTCTTGATCTAAGTTTCCTTGTAACAGATATCCGATATATATGTTCTCCTCTGTGTGTCTCTAGCCATACCTGCCAGATTTTGAAAGCTCTTAAGAAGATCATTTTGAGAGGAAATATAGGGAATGGGAGAATATGGCAAATGCTTAACTCCAGCGAGTGTGGAAAGAATCTTCCCAATACCATTGTCTGTCAATGCAGGCACAGACACAATCCCTACTTTTACACAAACAGGACTGGGTATGTCTGCTCTGGATCCAATTCAGAACTCTTTTCAAAAGGAAAAAAAGATGCTCCCTGCTTAAACTGAACTTCACACCTTCTGCTGTGTAATCAGGTTCTACTGGTCAACGGGAAAGGAACAAAGCACATAACACTTTGTGAATCAGAGACTGTGTTGGATATAAGTTCTGGATCCAAACTTTGATAAAATTCACTAATTATGCATACATAGAATTTTTCAAAATCAAGATCTCAACCAAACAAATAAATTAGTAGTTTCATGAAAATTCTGCCAAATGCGTTTAACTGGTATGTTCACACAGCATAGCTTTAGCAAGATCCATGAGGCACTTTTTTCACGTTTTCATGCCCTGGCTTCTCTCTTTGTCTTCCCTTTGATTCCCTTATATAATTTAGTTGTTTGAAAGAGGGTCAAGATCAAGAGACCAACCACAAACTTGTAAACCAGTAAGTTTATCTTTGTGGGCAAATCTGAGAAAACATCTTATGGGATAAAGTGGGAAAACTTCTAGAAAAAAACATGTCTCGATTGAAACTATTCTAAATTAATTCAGGTAGGGGAGTGAATGCTTAACTAATCTGCTAGAGTTCTTTGAAGATATATTACCATAATAGATAAGGAAAATTCATTGGATGTAGGATAGTGTGATTTTCAGAAAACATTTGACAAGTTTCTGTATCAAAGATTAATGGCTAAGGTAGAGTTTTATGGACTATGAGGATGTTAGTTTGTTGTAGTCATAGGTAGGCACATTTCTAATTGGAATAAAAGTTGTGGAAATAAGTACAAATAAATAACATAAATACAGACTTTTAAAAATAATGGGATTATAGATGGATGGAGTAATCCTGGAATCCAGTTTAGTTTAGTTTATTGTAAATGTGCAGAGACAAAGGTTACCCTTATAGGAAGTATTAAAACAAGTATTTTAAACATTTTTAATGATTGGTGACAGAGAGAATAGTACAGCATGAAAACATTATTTTTATTGTACATATTTCTGAGTATCTTAATCTATCAAGTTGAATAGTCACAGAGAGGTAGCTGTGCTAGATAAATCTATCAAGGATATTTGTCAATAGACAGCTACCGCACATACCGAAGAGTCTCAGTTATTGTAGCAGATCCTCAGTTGCAGTAAATTAGAGTATTTCCACCAAAGTTAATAGAACTATGTTAGTTTACACCAGCTTTATTACATCTAGCTTTTGAATTGTAATTTGTTTAATTTTAAAAATCACTTAACAATTTTATGATATTTCTGACAGTTGTTCATGCTGAGGAAATATCATACCTATGAAGATGAGAATATATTAAAATTATTATATTTTAAATGTTTTAATAGCTAATATATTGCCTTTTCCTTAGTTTTGTTCTGCTGTTTTTCCTCCCACTTCTAAATTAATCTACAGCCCAGCTGCTTCATCTCCAGCAATTCCTCACTGACAACTGGGCTGCTTTCAAGGTTGTTTGTGTTTTAAAAGGCTAACATGAGTTTTCAGAGGTCCTGATACTAAGCATTCTTTTTAGCAGAAAATAATTCTTGAAAACAACCTACACATCTAGGTGGAATTGCCTGAATTAATGCAAAGTTTATGGCATTTTTTTTGCTGCATGTGTTGCATATAAGCTTTATCTGCTGCTTTCAGAAGTTGTTGTTGTTCTTATTCTTATTCTTTTGTAACTGAAGTCAATTTTTACCACCAAGATCTGTAACACTTCTTCGTGTCTGCAGTATATTCGATGGTGATTTTCCGTTGGGGAAAAGCTGAATCAAGAACCAGCTCCCAAGAGTGTTCATCTTCTGATACCTGAACCATCTGTAGCTCCTCTTTATCCAGGACAAACACCTGTCTTCGTTGTCTATTGTTTATTGTATTTGAGCAGACTTATTCTATATTCCACATGCTATTTGAATGATAATATGAATTATTAAACTTGGTAATAGAAGTTTAATGTGAAAGATGGCCTGGCCACTGTTGAGAGCAGTGGTTGTGAATTTGGGTATTTTAAGATCCCTGAGGATGGTCACATAAGAAGCATAACAGTAATGTTGAACATAATACCTGTGCTAGCTTTTGTTGTAATTAGTTGATTTGTTTTCTTTTGTTTAGCACATACCAGTGTTTCAGATACTGCAGTTATTTCATATCTAAGGTGTATTTGAATACTGTGTTATCACACTGAATAACATTGCAAATCCTGACATTTAAATAGTAGTCTATAAACTAGTTCAAGCCATACCTATATTTGCTTTGTGGAAAAGAAAAGGAAGAAGGTGTGAGTAAAAAAAGAAGCCATTTGAATTAAATAAAGCAAAAAGGGCAAGCATTCTATGTTTAGATGCTTTTTTCTTTTCTTAAAGCTTCTTAAATTATTAATGTATCGACTGCTTTGACTCTTAAGAAGTGACCTTGTACAAACTTAACATTCTGACTCAGCAGATCTGTTCCTTGTGTTTATCCCGAGTCAGTTCAATTCACTTTAGTGACGGAAACATTTTTTTACTACTTTTTCATCCTGTTGGCCTTGCATTTGTGGGCGAAACTATTGGATTATTTTGTCATCAGAAATGTTAACTACGCTCTAATTGCAGGGCAAACTTTTGCCTTCAGACACATTTGCACTACACAGTTCAAGTCAATGGTGTAGCATTGATGTAATGAGGGACAGCCTTTGATGACAGATTCTTTGTTACTGATGATGACGTATTAGCCAGAGAATACATAGACTTTAAATCCCAGGATAAAATTTCATAGTTGGAAATTGGATTGCATAAAAACTCATATTTTCAAGACAAAATGCATTAAGCTTGTTTGTGGTTCACATTATAGAGTTCTTCTAGTTATCTCCAAACCAAGCATAAGTAAATCCTGGAAATTCAGAGTTGAGGATAAATTGAAAGGAAATCTCACCACTTTAACTATGTCTTGAAGTGACACTGTGCAGTAAGAATACAATTATAATTCATGCATATTAGGATTTGTGGTTAAATTCAGATCAGATCAGATTAAATTTATTTTTATAGAGACATTGGAATTTTTTCAGGGTGTCTGTAGATAATTACTGCCTTCATAACAGAAATCATTGAGATCTTAGTTATGCCATTTTCTAGTGGAGAATCTGGCCCTTTTCCTGCCATATTTCCCTCTTGACAAGGCAGGTTTTTTTTAAACTAAAAACACATTATATAGAATGTGGGTGGGCATTTCATTTGGTTCCCTTTTTATAACCCACTAGCTGACATACCTGGCATTGCCAGGGTCTTTCAGGGCAAGGTCTTGGGGATGTGGGTTGTGTGTGTGTGTGCGTGTGCAGGAGGCTGGGGTCCAGGGGTGTGTTCTTTCCGCACCGGCACACCCTTGCCCAAGGTCTGTTCTCCTGCTTCCCCCTCCCCAACCGCCTGGAACCTGTTCTTTCCTCCCTTTCAGGCCACCCCCCCAGTCTGCCTGGAGCCTGTTTTTTCCATCTCTCAGGCTATCCTTCCACCCACCTGGGGCCTATTCTCATCTCCTCAGATGCCCCCCAGCCACCAGGGCCCTGTTCTTCCTGAGGCAAGAAGACTATTTATGAGTGTGCTGGGAGGCAAGATAGCAGAGTTCCAGCCCTGCTGACCACTCTCTTGGTCAAGGTTGGGCAATAATTTTTGATGGGGGGCTACTCCAAGATTTTAGAAGTGCAGGGTCTGGCATGGAGGTTAGGTGCAAAAGGGAGCTTGGGGTAATGGATTGGAGTGCAGGAATGAGAGGGGGTCTGGGAGGGAGTTTGAATGAAGGAAGAGGTTGTGACCTGGGACACTGGACTGGCCAACTGTCATTAGATGATTTAAAGTAACTTAATTCAGAGAAATGAGTGAGTGGACAAATAAAGGGCTGCAGGTTTCAGACATTGAGAATTCTTGCATATATGGATGCAGGAGAGGAGCAGAGGGTTAGGGTATGTAAAGTAGGGGGACAGGAGTGGGGGGGGGCAGAGGATTGGCAAGGGAAAGGGAAGAGCTGGGGTGGCAGAGGCAGGCTCTAGCCAGGAGACTTACCTCAGTGACTCCTGACCAGCAGCCCGGCATGTTTCTCAGGCAGGCAGAGAGCCTTCCCTGCCCCCACAGAGGCTGCAGGGCCATGTGCCTGTGTGAATAACTGTGAACCAGAGGGGAAGAGAGTGTGGTGCTTCATATGCTGCCTGTTAATCAAACAGGCAGCTCACATTGGTGTTTCTGGGATTGTTCTGGGGGCGGGGACAGTGCCTGAAGCCTTCCCCCTCCCTCTCCAGGCTTACAGTTTTTAAAGAGAAATGGCCTGGCAGCCGCTTTTCTGAACAGCATGTGGTTGGGGTGAGGCAAGCAGGGAGCCTGCCTGGGGCTCCCTTCAGCATCCGTGGGCCAGATCAAAATCTTGGCAGGCCGGGTCTGGCCTGTAAGCCCTATTTTGCCCAGGCCTGCTTTTGGTGGTACGACTGCAGGATCGCTCTCCTCTTCAGTCTCGCTGCCCTTGGTGGCCATTCTAATATCTCGTCCCTCTGAACACTGCCCTCTCCTTTTGCGTGTTATGGAAAACTGTCCCTTTCCCAGGGCTTCTGGTTGTCCTGGCACAACCAAACTCTGACTTTGCTTTAAGTTAGAATCAGAGGAAGCTGTATATCAAATTTGGTGGCCCTAGCTCTTACCATTTAGGAGTTCTTGGACAAATGGACTTTCAGGCAGATGCACTCTAAAATATAGAGAGATTTGATAACTAGTTTCTTAGAGTTTCCCTCAGCCTTCATAAAGGCTTTGCATATTTAAAACCAAGATAGCTTTAGTTTTTAGTTCTAAGAGGAGATTTAATTTCAGTAGATAAAGTTTTGTGCCTGAGAAGAGGTCCACATTTTAAACAAAGTCAGATATATGAGGTTTTCTTTCAGGCTCACGAGCTTGTAATCATCAGATTTTATGGCTGTTACTCCTTCTGCTATTATTGATTTTCTTCAGCCTTTTGTACTGGCTTCTTAATATGGTATCTATACCCTGGCTTTTTTCCCCAAGTCCTAAGAAGGCTGTCCTTTAATTAGAATGACATAATATGACTCTTGTTGAACCTCATGCTAGAAGTCTAGAATTTATCTACTGCTTGTTCCCAGCTTACATCAGCTGTAAGTAGACATATTTTGGACCTTAAATATTTTGATTGATGTCCAGTGAAATTAATAACTCATTCATAGGGAATATCTGAACCATCATGAAAATTCTTTAAGGTACACACTGCTAACTGTAAATTCCAATTATATCACATATTGTACTGGCATTTTTAGCTTGTGAAAATATTGAGACGTAAATATATAGCAGTGGCAGTGCTGAGAGAGGGAAAAAAAATCCATATTTTAAGGGCATAAAGCATATTGTACGCTATTTAAGCAGAAATAATTTCAAGTTTCAAAATTCAGGCTTCATGAGGAAACAGTCTTTTCCTAACCTGTGAGGAGAAATATATTAGCATATATTAGCATCTAAATTATTTTGCATCTAGTGGCAAAGGGTCTGTTTCTGCTTTACACTGAGGTCACTTTATGCTCACTGCATTCTGCATTGCTCCAGTTCTTCCAACTGCTTATATCTATTTTCAGTCTTTCTACAAACATCCAGCTGGTTTGGCGCATTGCCTGAATTGCAAGACCTTTGCCTGAGCAGTCAGATGCAGTTTTTTAGTATGTTAGTGTTTATGGGGCAGGGAAGGCTCCAGTGTACATTTTTCTTTCTCACTGCATCAACAACCTCTTAGTGTTATCAGAATCTTTTGTTTTCTCTTTATGTACCCTGCCTTCAAAGAAGGAAAAGGCCCTGCTCCAACCCATGAAGCAGAACTATGTTCATTATAGACAACCATATTCTTTTGCAGAACACCAGTGCATGAGAGTGTTACATTTGCATTCTAATACCACCCTATATAATAAAGAAACATGGAGTACACCTATCAAGCCTCTTTTGAATATCCTAGCAAAATACCTGTAAGGCTAGCAAAGAGTGACCAGGCCACAGCATTCAAACCATAAATCCTTGAAAGAAAAATCTTGAGTCAGCTAAGACCAGTGAGCATCAGGAACTCTGTGCTAATACCCACCCTAAACTCAGTGTGAATGTTTTATGAAGTTGTTGATGCTCCATGTCCCCACTTCACATACATAATTCTAGCTGCTCGAGCCAGAGAAGACAGAAGTTCAGGGTGATAAGAGCTATTCTCTGGTCTCAGATATATGCCCACTATGAAGGGGCACCAAACCAGCAACTTAAGGAGAATTGAAGCTGTTTTCCCCAGACTTTGCAGAAGCTGTAACAGTCTTGCCTAATTTTTCTAATGAGTCACTCCTCAAGCTTCCTGCTGCTCAAAAATGAGAATACTCACAGATTATATCTACAGAGCAGTGGAAATTATTTACCTTTAATTCTGCTTCCCGACAGACACAATTTATTGTAAGATTTTCAATCATATGTGGAGGGTGGGGAAGAATTACTTTCTTTAAGGTTTATTCTTTCTGGTCCCTGAATTTTTTCCCATCTAAGGGATACTTTTAGATTGCTTTACCTAATTTTGAATTGACTTATATTGGAGCTTTGCCTTCTGCACAACCAAACGAATTGGCTGGCATCACCTGTTCATTACAGCCAATTCCTTCTGTAGCACAAAGGCACACAAAGTGGCACACAAAGACCTGCATGAGAATTGGCTCATATTGAGTTCCACTGTTCCTGTATTAAGGAGCTAAGACCCAAAAGTAAGAATCCTACCAAAATGATGACTTCAGAGAAGCAAAATTGCAGATATTTTCCCTTCTTTGTTAATTACATGGTGCCACTGCATGGATTGTCAGTAGTGGGTATCTCACATAGGTTCTGTGGATCTATAAGCATATGTGTCTGTTGCCTGAACTAAAAGACCCAGATCTACAGCAGGGGACAGATGCCAGGAGCCATGCTGTATATATATTCTTGGGTTCCACTAACATTACCCAAGCTTTCTGCTATGTAATAATTGTAAAAACAAACAAACAAAAAACAAAACTCAAATTACTTTACTTTCATTTCTGACACTTGGTATTATTAATTATATAATCACTTATTTTAAATAACTTTCTATTGTTTCTGTTAATGATTGTATTGGGTAGTATTTATATTTAAGTGTTTTACTAAACTAATCTTGCTCTGAAAATTAAAAATCAGCCTTTGCAGTTTCTGTTAATATTTACCAAGTGATTAACATATCCATAAATCATGTGTTGGTTTATGGCATAAGGTGAATTTATAACTTTCCCCAAAGAGATAATGCCTTGCAGTTCAAAGACTGTTTTCTGCATAGCAGTAGCTAAAGATGCTGTTATTCCTCTTATCTCTTTTTTCTTACTGTGAAATAATCCAGTGATCCGTTCGTGGTCTGACCATGAACCAAACCCATTTGGAAAGAAGAGAGTTTAACCAAAAAGAACAGGGAATGATTATTTTCGACAGCATGTACTCTATTATTGTTGATTCTTGGATTTTTATTTTTATTTTTTTTTGTACTTGAAGAATGGAGTTTATTTCATGTCATCAGTCTATCCATTGACAAGCATCAGATTGTCACTGACAGTACTGTTTGGATAATGTATGTCACTCAGCCAAATAATTAATTTTGGCTAGCCTGTATGTGCTATTTTAGTAACAGTGAATAACTAGTAACTCCTGCTAGAACATGAATAATCAGTAAAATGTTTTCTCAATTTATCTTTGCTTGAACTTGAGCTAGCCCAACTAAAATGCATGGATTACTTATTTAAAGCATTCTAGAAATGCCAGTGTTTCTAGCCTTAATCCTGTATGGCAAACTGAGTCTTTAAAATAATGTGGCCATTTCTTCAGTGAGGGTATAGTGGATTATTATTTGTTTTATGCTCATCATTCTTTGTGTCTGACATATTTGGGCCTCCTTTTAGCCTTTGCATGCACATATATGCATACACAAATGCATGCACCTGCATATGAACAAGAGTTGGAAACCACATCTGCAAATCTCATCAATTGAAAGTTGTTTTGTGAGTGAAAAGTCTGACACTGACACTTCCATGATTTCATTCACCTATGCACAAATGTGCATGTCTTAGAATTTTCAAACATGCACCTGAAAAGTATGACTGTATGGACCAATATGAGCACATAGTCATGTGCAGATGGCAAAGGACAATCTTAAAATATAGCTCTTTATTACACAGTTCTTCTTTTTCAATGCACTGAGTTCAATACACTTGAATATTCTTCCGACCTTCTTGTTGTTGATGCCACTGTTCTTTAATGCCTAAACCTACACATTTCTCTCCATCCACACAAAATGATTGTGACCCAAACTCTTCTTATTTTGCATAACTCCTCACCCAGCAGAATTTCAATCCTCATCCAAAATATTCAAGTGTACAATCACCTGGCATCAGAGATCCTAGCTCAACTTTCTTTGGACTAAAGATGGTAAAATTTATCCAAATTTTAACTACAAATCTTCCTTATTTTTCAACTAGCTTTTTCTTTTGATTCCGTGATATTTATCTGGAGAGGCATCAGGTACCTGAAACCAGACCAGTTCATGATCCTTTAAACACTACATGAAAGAGCATCTCCGTGTCCATAAGTGATTATAATTTTAAACCTGAAATTAAACATTTATTAAGAAATAAATTAATCTTTTACATAATCTGCTGTGAAAGCGATTGAGCTAGAGTGCAACTTAAAATACTTTCGAAACGAGATTTGAAATTTTATTCTAGGAATAACTTTGGAATTTTAAAATATTCTAAGTTTTATATTCTCAGGTACCACAAACAACACTAGAAGAGAATAGTAAAAGCAACGATACAATTCTGATAACATTTCTATTACTTGTATTTATATCCAGTATTCCAATATCTATCCAAAATTATTACAGCATTCTTGTGACCTGTTATATTCTCATTAACATAAATGTTACATATTTTATATATATAGTTTAATGTTATGAAACCTAAGAAAAGGTTAGCATAGTATTGACTCAGGCTTTTTATATTCCAGTTTATTGATGGTCGACTATCAAAGCTAAATGCAGGAAGAGGGTTCTCTGATATTTTTGAAGAAGAGATCACTTCTGGAGGCTTCTGTGGAGGTACAGCATTATTTCAGGAACGTGCATGGGAATTGTTGAGGGAAAATACCATATTAACATGAACATAAACTGAAAAAGTGCTTAATATACTGCTTATTGGATTAAATACCTTGGATTCATTCTTAGCGGGTTTTCGGTCCAATATATATCAGTAGCAAAATAGTGAACTAGCTATTTAGCCAAACATTTGCAGTACATTAAATGAAAATAAATGGAATTATCTTAATTTAATAAACTAGTTTTTATAAAATCAAGATAAGGTGAGATTTAATTAGATTTTTTTTTTTTTTTAGAGTATTGGCTTGCTCAGTAACTGATTAGAGATTTACTGGCTAATGAATTTTTTAAAAATAATTACAAGATTTTAGTTCTCTTTCTTTTAGAAATGGATAATTTAGTTATTTTCTAATTTCTCGTTTAAAAACTCCTTCATGTATCTCATGTATTTCTGCAACATACTAAAGCCAAATTCTCCAAAATACAAAAAATTACTGAGTCAAGCAAAATGCACTATGCTTAAATACATAATTTTAATATGCTGTTCAAATCCAAAAAGGAACAGTGTGAAATATATCTTCTTCCTAAGCAAATCTTTTATTTATTGTTTTTGAGTCCTATCCACTGATTTAGTGACTGAAATAAATTGTATAGGTTTTTACTTGTGCTAGCCTTGCACATTTAAGAAAGTATTAGGTAGATCAATTCTGTGTTCTGCATTTCCAACAGGATTGTCTAATCATTTCTAGTTACATGGCAAGTCAATTACACTTTTTAGTTATAAACCAACTATATTTCATGAAGTAAATGTGGGGCCCCACAATGCCATTTTTAATTATTTTTCATAGCAGAGCTTCAGTTTTCAGTACAAATGTGAATTATGTGACTTGAACCAAATCCTGTCTTAGGGCATCTTTCTGCCTGTCTTCTGCTACAAAGCTACCCTGAAGGTAGCAGTTTTGGCCAGTGGAGTATTTGTTCTGTAGAGCCACCATAACAGATTCTGTGCCATGTCCTCTGCATTCTCAACATAAAAGCCTTACGTCTGGACTACGCTAGGACTTTACGTCGACTTTAGCTACGTGAGGCCAATGGCTGGGAGCGGGGAAAGGGTTTGAGGCAAGAAGACTATTTATGAGTGTGCTGGGAGGCAAGATAGCAGAGTTCCAGCCCTGCTGACCACTCTCTTGGTCAAGGTTGGGCAATAATTTTTGATGGGGGGCTACTCCAAGATTTTAGAAGTGCAGGGTCTGGCATGGAGGTTAGGTGCAAAAGGGAGCTTGGGGTAATGGATTGGAGTGCAGGAATGAGAGGGGGTCTGGGAGGGAGTTTGAATGAAGGAAGAGGTTGTGACCTGGGACACTGGACTGGCCAACTGTCATTAGATGATTTAAAGTAACTTAATTCAGAGAAATGAGTGAGTGGACAAATAAAGGGCTGCAGGTTTCAGACATTGAGAATTCTTGCATATATGGATGCAGGAGAGGAGCAGAGGGTTAGGGTATGTAAAGTAGGGGGACAGGAGTGGGGGGGGGGCAGAGGATTGGCAAGGGAAAGGGAAGAGCTGGGGTGGCAGAGGCAGGCTCTAGCCAGGAGACTTACCTCAGTGACTCCTGACCAGCAGCCCGGCATGTTTCTCAGGCAGGCAGAGAGCCTTCCCTGCCCCCACAGAGGCTGCAGGGCCATGTGCCTGTGTGAATAACTGTGAACCAGAGGGGAAGAGAGTGTGGTGCTTCATATGCTGCCTGTTAATCAAACAGGCAGCTCACATTGGTGTTTCTGGGATTGTTCTGGGGGCGGGGACAGTGCCTGAAGCCTTCCCCCTCCCTCTCCAGGCTTACAGTTTTTAAAGAGAAATGGCCTGGCAGCCGCTTTTCTGAACAGCATGTGGTTGGGGTGAGGCAAGCAGGGAGCCTGCCTGGGGCTCCCTTCAGCATCCGTGGGCCAGATCAAAATCTTGGCAGGCCGGGTCTGGCCTGTAAGCCCTATTTTGCCCAGGCCTGCTTTTGGTGGTACGACTGCAGGATCGCTCTCCTCTTCAGTCTCGCTGCCCTTGGTGGCCATTCTAATATCTCGTCCCTCTGAACACTGCCCTCTCCTTTTGCGTGTTATGGAAAACTGTCCCTTTCCCAGGGCTTCTGGTTGTCCTGGCACAACCAAACTCTGACTTTGCTTTAAGTTAGAATCAGAGGAAGCTGTATATCAAATTTGGTGGCCCTAGCTCTTACCATTTAGGAGTTCTTGGACAAATGGACTTTCAGGCAGATGCACTCTAAAATATAGAGAGATTTGATAACTAGTTTCTTAGAGTTTCCCTCAGCCTTCATAAAGGCTTTGCATATTTAAAACCAAGATAGCTTTAGTTTTTAGTTCTAAGAGGAGATTTAATTTCAGTAGATAAAGTTTTGTGCCTGAGAAGAGGTCCACATTTTAAACAAAGTCAGATATATGAGGTTTTCTTTCAGGCTCACGAGCTTGTAATCATCAGATTTTATGGCTGTTACTCCTTCTGCTATTATTGATTTTCTTCAGCCTTTTGTACTGGCTTCTTAATATGGTATCTATACCCTGGCTTTTTTCCCCAAGTCCTAAGAAGGCTGTCCTTTAATTAGAATGACATAATATGACTCTTGTTGAACCTCATGCTAGAAGTCTAGAATTTATCTACTGCTTGTTCCCAGCTTACATCAGCTGTAAGTAGACATATTTTGGACCTTAAATATTTTGATTGATGTCCAGTGAAATTAATAACTCATTCATAGGGAATATCTGAACCATCATGAAAATTCTTTAAGGTACACACTGCTAACTGTAAATTCCAATTATATCACATATTGTACTGGCATTTTTAGCTTGTGAAAATATTGAGACGTAAATATATAGCAGTGGCAGTGCTGAGAGAGGGAAAAAAAATCCATATTTTAAGGGCATAAAGCATATTGTACGCTATTTAAGCAGAAATAATTTCAAGTTTCAAAATTCAGGCTTCATGAGGAAACAGTCTTTTCCTAACCTGTGAGGAGAAATATATTAGCATATATTAGCATCTAAATTATTTTGCATCTAGTGGCAAAGGGTCTGTTTCTGCTTTACACTGAGGTCACTTTATGCTCACTGCATTCTGCATTGCTCCAGTTCTTCCAACTGCTTATATCTATTTTCAGTCTTTCTACAAACATCCAGCTGGTTTGGCGCATTGCCTGAATTGCAAGACCTTTGCCTGAGCAGTCAGATGCAGTTTTTTAGTATGTTAGTGTTTATGGGGCAGGGAAGGCTCCAGTGTACATTTTTCTTTCTCACTGCATCAACAACCTCTTAGTGTTATCAGAATCTTTTGTTTTCTCTTTATGTACCCTGCCTTCAAAGAAGGAAAAGGCCCTGCTCCAACCCATGAAGCAGAACTATGTTCATTATAGACAACCATATTCTTTTGCAGAACACCAGTGCATGAGAGTGTTACATTTGCATTCTAATACCACCCTATATAATAAAGAAACATGGAGTACACCTATCAAGCCTCTTTTGAATATCCTAGCAAAATACCTGTAAGGCTAGCAAAGAGTGACCAGGCCACAGCATTCAAACCATAAATCCTTGAAAGAAAAATCTTGAGTCAGCTAAGACCAGTGAGCATCAGGAACTCTGTGCTAATACCCACCCTAAACTCAGTGTGAATGTTTTATGAAGTTGTTGATGCTCCATGTCCCCACTTCACATACATAATTCTAGCTGCTCGAGCCAGAGAAGACAGAAGTTCAGGGTGATAAGAGCTATTCTCTGGTCTCAGATATATGCCCACTATGAAGGGGCACCAAACCAGCAACTTAAGGAGAATTGAAGCTGTTTTCCCCAGACTTTGCAGAAGCTGTAACAGTCTTGCCTAATTTTTCTAATGAGTCACTCCTCAAGCTTCCTGCTGCTCAAAAATGAGAATACTCACAGATTATATCTACAGAGCAGTGGAAATTATTTACCTTTAATTCTGCTTCCCGACAGACACAATTTATTGTAAGATTTTCAATCATATGTGGAGGGTGGGGAAGAATTACTTTCTTTAAGGTTTATTCTTTCTGGTCCCTGAATTTTTTCCCATCTAAGGGATACTTTTAGATTGCTTTACCTAATTTTGAATTGACTTATATTGGAGCTTTGCCTTCTGCACAACCAAACGAATTGGCTGGCATCACCTGTTCATTACAGCCAATTCCTTCTGTAGCACAAAGGCACACAAAGTGGCACACAAAGACCTGCATGAGAATTGGCTCATATTGAGTTCCACTGTTCCTGTATTAAGGAGCTAAGACCCAAAAGTAAGAATCCTACCAAAATGATGACTTCAGAGAAGCAAAATTGCAGATATTTTCCCTTCTTTGTTAATTACATGGTGCCACTGCATGGATTGTCAGTAGTGGGTATCTCACATAGGTTCTGTGGATCTATAAGCATATGTGTCTGTTGCCTGAACTAAAAGACCCAGATCTACAGCAGGGGACAGATGCCAGGAGCCATGCTGTATATATATTCTTGGGTTCCACTAACATTACCCAAGCTTTCTGCTATGTAATAATTGTAAAAACAAACAAACAAAAAACAAAACTCAAATTACTTTACTTTCATTTCTGACACTTGGTATTATTAATTATATAATCACTTATTTTAAATAACTTTCTATTGTTTCTGTTAATGATTGTATTGGGTAGTATTTATATTTAAGTGTTTTACTAAACTAATCTTGCTCTGAAAATTAAAAATCAGCCTTTGCAGTTTCTGTTAATATTTACCAAGTGATTAACATATCCATAAATCATGTGTTGGTTTATGGCATAAGGTGAATTTATAACTTTCCCCAAAGAGATAATGCCTTGCAGTTCAAAGACTGTTTTCTGCATAGCAGTAGCTAAAGATGCTGTTATTCCTCTTATCTCTTTTTTCTTACTGTGAAATAATCCAGTGATCCGTTCGTGGTCTGACCATGAACCAAACCCATTTGGAAAGAAGAGAGT